ACAACCACGAGCACACTGAGGCAGTGACTATAATGATGTCACTAGTGGCAGCCAACGCCTTATGCAGTGAGAATCAATCTTTTACTGCAGGATCATGGCACCAAGATTCAAATCAAAAGGAAAGACGGAAGGTCTCAATTATCCGATGCTACATATACATACAAGTGGTAATGTCTTGCGTCTATCTGCTTCTATCAGTTTCATTATATCCAAGCAAATTATTTCTCTTTTTATGCCCTCCCCATTGTAATTTACTATTTGATTTGTCAAAATATTGCAAAATGCACCAATAAGATAGGCTGATAGTGATATCAGATAGTTGGAGGCAATCGGCAGGAAGCCTTACTTGACCTAGGTCTCGTGCTTGTTGGTACTGACCAGCAAAGCTTATCTGCAACCTTGAAGGAAATCATGTCCTTTGTGAGACTTAATCCCACATCACCCAGTGCTGCAGTCAGAGACGTTACCACTGAGTTATTCGGGATCGCAACTGACCTCCTTCCTGTGGGACTGTATTGGGTACTTTGATTGAAAACTAGTAACTAGTGTGAAGTGTCAAGTCCTTCCTTTGGAGCAAACTGAATTCTATCAATCAGGTTTGCAATGTGGCCACAATTCTAGATAGCTCGTCATGACGGTGCACATTGATATGTGGATATTAGAAAGTTGAAGGCAGTCGGCACGAAGCCTTGCATGCGAGTGCCAACTAACACGAAACCTAAGTTCAAAGCGAGCCACCCAGAATGGTGGCCACATTGTAAACCTAAATGACAGAATTCAGTCTTCACCAAAGAAAGAAAGGACGAGACACATCACACAAGTTACTAGAGTCCAATCGAAATAGGCTGATAATGCCTATTAAATTGTGTTCAGGTAATGTAGCGTCATGTAATTTGTACCTTCCACTGGGATTAATAATCAGAAAGTTTTGCTTATTTATGCTTTAAACTAAAGTCTAATAGCTTGTAATAAAATTTTTAAAATACTGTATCTATTTTCGGGACATCTAATCTTCTTAAATTCATTTGATCAGCTAGTAAATGTCTGTAGATTATTTGACCTTATCTGTGGTCTTACTCCATCGATACATAGTATCACTGAAATTATGCTCCACTGATTACTACTATTATCCCCTAAGTTTCCTAGTAAGACAAAAAGCTTAAAAAGCACATTTTCATTATGTTGTGTTCTCTTCAGTTCTCTCTGGCTGGCTCCACAACTACCCATAAGTTCTCGTCTGCTTCTCACACGATCTTCGTCATGTCGACCTCAAAGTGACGCGCAAATCTTCGTTTTCAATTCAGGCTCCAATTCAAGGCATAGATGGTGCGTGAGGCCAATCAACGATCTCCTAAGACCATTTCCAATCCATCTCTATTTTCTTCGGCATATTCGTTGGTCAGTAGTTTCTTGACCGATTCACTGCATTACCAGAGTCCTTAGTTGCTAATCCTTTCTGCCCAGCCATCTAATATTCAGTACGTGCTTTAATACGCACTTGTAAATTGGTAAACACAGTTGAAGGTGATATGAGTATAAAACTTGGGCACTGTGGTAGAGTATAATTCCATTATAGATAAGATTTTTATTTTGATAAATCGCACAGTGTTTACAGTTATATGAACTGATGACGTTTCGAGCACAATCTATTGCTCATAATCATATCAAGGTGATGGTATTGCTAAGGGAATAAGATTCAGACTGAACGCTGCTTTGAAAACAACATATCCAGCCACCAAGCTTGTATTTGTTTATCAAACGACCAGTTGTATAAGACAATCAAAAAAGAGACAACTTCCCACCGCATGTTACTCTCATTGCTACTTCCAACCTCATCTATCAATTTACAAGCACGTACGAAGACACACACATGTTGTAAGGAAAGAAAGAAGTGTTATTTTCCACACTTCTGAACATACATCAAAGAACCTAACACTAAAGGGGTCACAGGCATTAAACAGTACAACTGCACGCCATCTGTTAGACAATGGTCATATTGTAACCTACTATATTATTATACTTTTTCTAGTTAAACTTTTCTTTTACCCAAAACTTCGAATCATATCAGTTTACTTGCCTTATAAATACTCAGTCTTTTCATTACTTAATGATTTAACAACTAACATTTATTTTCTTAGCCTCAAAAGATCACTTCTTACCATTTCAAAAATGTATGCTGAAGCTATTAAGCTTGATTTATATTTTTGTATTCTTGAAGCTCTAACCAACTGAGAATCCCCGGAATAATGTAAGAGAAGCTCATATTATCGTGGTATATTTGTCGCCCTTTGTTAAATTTTTAATAATGGAAGTCTGTCTGTCTGTTTTCGACATAGAACTTTGCACAAATGTGCGGAAGTTCAAGTCGCCACATTCCGTGTAGCATGCGAAGCAAGAGAAGAAAGTACAAGAAAAGCATAATAGAAACAGTGAGCAGAGGTGTGAGACAAAGGAGTAATAAAGAAATACAAAACAGTTTCATTGAAGGGATTGTATAAACGTCCTAGAACAAAATTAATGAATGTATACATCCGACCGTAGACTGCGGTGAGGGATACTGACTTGAACTGTATCTTTTGTTCACAGAGTTCTGGTTGTATAAAGCAAATTTTAACAGTTTAGGTTGTTTGAATTATTCAATATCTAATGAATTGAGATGGTTAGTTCAGTACACAGCAAGTGATAGAAAGAGGTTCTTGATTGCTAGCTTTATGGTTTATTTGTTTCAGTTGATTTGATATTGAAATAATGTAGATTTGTAGCTCAGGTGGATGATCTTGAAATAGTTGTGTTGTTTGAGCAGGTTGATTTAATTGCGGAACTTTCGTCTTGCCCCATTCTAGACAACATCTTCAACGCAGGTTTTAGTATTGGATGAACTCTTTTGAATTCTCCATGAATGATGTAATTGTACCACCTGTTGAACACTGCAATGACCAGAGGAAACACTAAATATACCAGGGAATTTCTAGATGCTTGATATTCAAGTGAATCAACCAGCAATTAATAGACACACTGTTATAGACCAAGTTCACCAGCTAATAAAAAATAAATCACATGACAAGACAGTTTGAATTCCAAATCAAAGAAAATGAACCATATAGACGTAAATTAACAACCAATCAGGACACTGGTTGCCAGGAGATACATTTACAACATTCATAAAGAATTTAAATAAGTCCATTTCATACTAAAACCTGAGTTGAAGATGTTGTCTACATGGAGGACGACGAAAGCCTCACAATAAAATCAACCAGCTAGAAGAACACAAATAATTCAGATTTAATACTGAACTGTAGACAATTTCCTAGTACACTTGAATTTATCCAGATTGGTAGGTAGTTTTTTGAACGAGAAAAGTCTGGTTCTCAAAGAAAAGGTTGATTGTTTCAAAATTTAACAATTTAAACAAAGTTTGATGACAAACAGTAACTGACTTCGTCATCTGTATGAAATGATAAACGATGTGAAATAACATCAAGCATCTTAAATTAGTTTTCTTAGTATCAACAAACTGAGGGTCCTACCTTTTTTTTTACCTTTCCTCTACTTTTTGTAAAATAAAACTAACTAGGCAGTAAACAGTTAATAACAAATGAACAAGTAACTTTCTGTCTATATTCTGTCGAATATTTCCATCATCAAATACTGCGGGTTCAAGTTACAGTCACCAAGCAGCAAGAACATCCAACTAACCAGTCCCAAATAGAACGAAATGCTCTCCCATATTCTACTATTGGCCATCGTTAAACAAGTAACCTCTAAACTGAAAACGATAGGAATGTCTTGGTCACATAAGCATAACATCAATTTCACGAAGTACATGGTGTCGTATTTTTCATTCCTTGAGTTAGTAGTAATATAAAGGGCTTCAGGCGTGGGGCCTTGAAGTTTCTCTAGTTATTTTATTATTACACGGTGGGTAACCGTACTCACGCGCAATCTCCCCTCTTTTTGGGACTTAGTATTGCGTAGTAAACTAGGTGACATTTAATGATATTAGATGGTTGGAGGCTATCGGCAGGAAGCTTTGGATCTAGGTTTCGTGCTAATTGACATTTTTCAGTAAGGCGTATCTGCAGCTAGCACGAAACCCGGGTGAATCAAGGCTTCCTTTCGATTGCCTCCAACCGTCTTATACCAACAATTCAAAGTGCACCGTGGTGGCGAGCCACCTAGTGGCATGGTAGCCACATTGCAAACCTGACTGATAGAATTCAGTCTGCACCATAGAAAAGACTAGATACATCATACTAGTTACTGGCGTCAAATCAAAATAGGCGACATTTAAAAGTTTATCAGCCTGGAATCTAACTCTGCAACATGTGCGTAGTAGGCGAGCATTCAACGACTGAACCACTGACATACAGTGAAATACTTTTTATTGAGGTGAATCAATGTGTTAGAATGTCGATTTTTTGGTTAAATGTATTTGAATGATGTTCTGTACATTATCTCCAATTTCAGTAAATGTCTAATTGCTTAAAGATGACTATTAAAGTACACTTCTCCCTAAGTTTATGCTCATATGAACAAATGGTTATATAGTGATTTTTCCATAAGCATCACTGGTTGACTTAAGCTGAGATATTTGGAAGACATGGAGTCCTTTTTAGAACTCAAATGTGCCTTGCTTCCTAGATTTGAAATGCGGAAAACTCAAATCTACTGATAACATTTCCTGATAACCTCTAACCCGTTAACTTTAATTAAACATTTGTCTAAATTAGCCGTTTTTTCAGTTAACTGAGCACTCACTTCAAACACAACTAACAGAACTTGGTCAGCACACATACTGGTCATGCATCAATGACCAGTTGGTTCGTCAGTGTTTTTGTAATTTACCCTCCTCCTCTTATCAAGTGATTAAAAGACGGTTTTTGCAGCCGTTTATTAAAAAAATGAAATAACAGCGAAAATTTTGCAAAAACCCAGATCAAAACCCCTCCTTACCTCTGCTGAATGCTCACAAACTTTCTGTATTCTCATTCAAATTACAGGAAGTATGAATACAACAATGTCTGATTCAATGTCAAATCAACGAAACCGATTCATCAAAAAGCATAAACAATATCGTCGAGATGTTTCACACTCTTCAACACCTTTAAATTCAATGGATTCAGGCAAAAATGACAATGAGTTGATTGTATTAGCCGAATTTTTTATGCCAGACAACATAAAATTCACTGATCGTCTTGTTACACTGGAGAATACATTCAGTAATTGTGAGCTGAAACATCAACAGCAACCGTTTGAATTCACCTTGTATCAAGATGCTGTTTTATCGAATGAAACGACATGCAACAATGATTTAGCTATTGAAGATCTACTTTCACCTATTGATGGTATCATTATTGACTGGGATCAACTCGAGGGCATAACAGTGAGTGGATTTTGGAAATTATTTGAAACTGCTCTATTCAATGAAACTATTAAAGATAACATGATCATCAATAATCAAGTAAATTTTGTTAGTTCTATTTATAATAAACCATGGAAGACATTTTCTTATGAAGCTGGTCAACCAAGACGATCTTCTCATCATTATCGTCATCTAGTCGAATGTATCCTGGTAATTCAGAGGCAAAACATGAAAGATACTTTCAGAAACAACAACAGCAACAATCGCATTCTTTGGATACAACATCAAGAAGACGAATATCAGTGAAACACATGAATTCAGCGATAACCCATTCTTATTCCTTTCTTCGACATGGATAAATTTTACGCTATATTTATGTTACTACTTATTATACTCTCATTTTCTATTGTAAAAATGTATCATCTTTAACCTTCCATTTTTATGATCTTTAGATAAAAACAAATTTGTAAACTTTTAATTGAAATCTCTTGTGTCTTTAATTGTATTGTATTGTATCGCACATATATGAATAATGCCCATTTTAATGCCTAATACACATAACAATATTGCATAAAAAAGCAAACAGTCCCCACCCGCCTCGCCCTCCTTGCCCTCTTCCCCCACAAATGAGGATAACGGTATGATGATGACACTATCTACGTGTTTCTTGCAATCATTTACAGATTCTGTGTGTGTTTAGATTTATGCCTTCCTCAATGTATAAACACTTGCTTTCTAATTTCATAAATAAATCTTAACAGTTAGAGTCTCCTGTGAAATGATAAACAATTGAATAATAGTAATAATAAACATGTAGTCGTAGAAATTAATTCTGGAGGAAGAGAAAAAATTGTTTTCTATAATCCTCTTCTGCGTTATTCTTCCTTTCATGAGATACATGAAGATTAAAGAAGCCTTGAGAATTTGTTTTTGCTCTAGTTTCTATCTTGACTATGCATATACGCATAGATTTATATTTATAGTGTCATTGTATTGTTCCCTCTCTCTCCTCCTACTTACTTACTTACTTTAATTTGGCTAATGTTGTTGATGAAGTCAGTGACTCGCTTGTTGAGAATATCTGTTAGCGTTAAGTCAACATAAATAAGAATAATTTACCTTGTAGATTATTAACACACTGAAGTTGGTAAACAATCTCACTGCATGTAATAATACATTATTTAAAGTTAATGTCAACGGATACTCTCATATATATCTTTGTGTGCGTGTCTGTGAGCACATTTCAGTGTATATATACTATTGAATATCCACTTTTCTGATCACTTTATCATCTTATAACCAATAAATAAATGTAGCTTTTAAAATTGTATAAAGAAGAGGAGTAAATAAGATTTATCATGTGGAATAAACCGATTTTCATTTCAGTTATCTTGTGCTAATCTTATTATTATTGTTTCCTTTAGTTCCTAGAGGAACATAGCGCTTCAGCCGCAAATCTCGATTGCGTTCGGTTCTGTGCCAACATATCCACTTGGCTATACGTCTGCTCACATGCCTTCATCTCCTATTCCATGTCACTCTCACACTGACGACTAACTTGCCGCTTCCTGTTCGGATACCACTCAAGTGATAGCCTGACGTGTGATGTCACTTGATGGTTTGTTTTCTCAGAGTATGGCCAGCCAATCCACCTCCATTTCTTCCTGCATATTTCTTGCACAATCGGTTCCTGTTGGGTTGGTTCGCTCATCGCCAGAGATTCGTCACTGATATTTTCTGACCGGCCATCTGATCTCGAGTAGTACTGAGCGAAGACAGTAGTTGATGAACGTCTGTAGTTTGCTTGAGGTACCTTTCGTGACTCAGTGGCCCATTCTCTGGTCCGCATAGTAGCATTGACTTCTCATTGAAGTTAAAAATCCGGATCTTATTTTTCATGTCGAGTGCTGTTGACCTCCGCACATATTTGAGAGTAATGAAAGCTTGCCTTGCTTTCCTGATCCTCGCTGCTTTGTTATCCTCATCAAATCCGTGAGCCTGTAGTTGAAACAATGCTTCCCATGTAGGCAGGTAGATGAAGGAGGTTGCTTCTTCTTCTATTTATGCTGGCTGATTGTTGTCTATTGTAATTGGTATTGCTGTTGGCCAGGAAACTTCATCCCTTCTGTTTTATTTATGTTCATCTGAAGTCTTATCTTTGATGCTACTTCTGCTAAATTGTGGTAATATAGAAAATATCCCCATTTAGACATTTAGAAAACAGAAAGATTGAGCGAAGAAATATTTACTTTTCAATTAGATCCTCATCTCACTCTGGCTCTACTCTAATGTATACAGCATTTTTATTACAAAACAACAGTTTACCAATCAAGTGGCACTGATGTGTTTGTTAACAATAATTAGTCAGTGTCAAATGTCAAGCAGTGGGGTGATAATTAACGAAGAAAGTCAATACACATTTAAAAGGTAGAAATGGTTAGAATAAATTAATTTTACAAGGATAACACATAATTAAAGATGAAGTGGTCAAAATAAATAAAAAAATAAAATAATTTGGACAATTTTAATTTTTTATAGTTTTAAAGGTTTAGGAGGAGACGGGCGAAGTAGTCCTGTTTTTGCATTCTTGTAACGATGGCCACGGTAAGGAAAGTGCCTGTACAAATTTTTTCTGAACACATCAGCTTGGCTTCTTCAGGTGAATTCTGATTGCTTCAGCTGTCAGTAGAAGACGAACTCGCAGAGCAAAATTAAGATTAGTTGGAATGCGATAAATAATTTTAAATGCAGCATTAACATCAACCTTATGCTTAGTATCAACAAGGTGGGCTAAAATAGAACTACGAATAGATCTTGTTTGTCCCTTGCCCTTAACCATGTTGGATGATGTTCGGTAATACAAAATAAGAAACAAAATCACTAGTACTATTTGTTTTACTGAATCAAATTCACATTTCGAAAACTAGTTGGTAATTTGAAATGTACACAGTTCGAGGGGGTGAAATTCTTATCACAGTCGCCTATGTAAACAGATTGTGGTCTATGATATTTGTATAAAATTATATGCTACATTACTGACTGAAATGGATACCTGTATACTACTCATATCGACCAGTAGTACTTGTTAGCCATATCGTGGTTATCTAAACATTGAATTGCAGTTTCACTCATTTAGGTTCAAGCTCATCAGCGGTGTATCCAGAAATTAGGTGATTTGAACTGATTTTTCTATCTATGCTGACTCAAAAGTGGATACATCACTTATGAACTCTACCTAATCAACCAAAAGGCCACACCGGTGTTTACATCACTTCGAAGTTAGTTGGTTGGCCATGGCCAGTGGTAGAATAGAGGGATACCTCTTACATACGTTTTTTTTAATAAGTCAGAGTAATCTTGCGTTATTTTGCAGTTTTTAAATGTTTATATATGCCAGTGGTTCAACGGTAGAGTGCTTGCAAGACACGAACAAGTCCCACATTCGATTCCCACACTGACTCACTCTTAACCCCAGCCTAGTTTGCTAACTGATAGAAATCTAGGCAAAGATGTACCACACAAAACGCCTAAAATGAATAAGAAAAAGGTGTTAAAGATTTTAGGGTAAAGGTAAATTAAGTTAGGTTAGGGGACAATCATTCTCAAAGGTGGCTTGTTTAAAACCTGGTCTACCAAAATACTTCATCATTATGTTACATATAATTTTTTTTGTTCAGTTTGTTCTAATCTATTAAAATATGATCTTTAATGACGTTTTCTGCTACGCGAGCATTTGAAATGTCTATAACCTGCTGATTCTCAAGAAAACTGTTCCTGATATTTTTAAAACAAACTGTCACTGCTTGAAAAATGAAACTAATTACCTACAGTCTTCAATTATTCAGCTACTGTAATGTCCTTGGGTACTTCTACACCTTTCTTCTTAATTGGCTTTCAGTCAATTGTTGTGCATTTCTCGAAGGTGGAAGGCAAAGAAGAAATATCATGAAAGAGGATTGGTTTTCGCTTCAGGTCAGGCAGCAATGTGTTAAGGGATTTACAGTCAGTTACTTAACATTTTACTTGAAGTTCATGGGCAGAGAGAAGCTGCTGTGGAATAATTCCCCTAAAATATTCTGCAAATTATATGAGCATTGTTCAGAATAAGGCCATTATTATTATTTAACTGAACTTATATTATTTATATTTATATTCTGGTTACAACGCAAGATAGCAGACCATTCGTCCACCAGGAGCCTATTAAATGGCTCACGAACTCATTGATAAAACCGCTTTTATATATTATTATTTCCTTTAATTCCTGAGGAACATAGGGCTTCAGCTGCGCGTCTCCACTGCGTTCGGTTCTCTGCTAGAGTTTTCACATGGCTCTAAGTCTGCCCACATGCTTTCATCTCCTCTTCACATGACCTACTCCAAGTCACCGTTGAACTACCAACTCACCGCTTTCCGTCTGGGTTTCACTCGAGCAGTTGCTTGTCTAGTGGTGTCACTTGACGATTTCCTCAGCGTATGGCCAATCCATCTCCATTTCTTCCTGCCTATTTGTTGCACAATCGGTCCCTGGTTGGTTTGCTCCCAAAGATCTCTCTTGCTGATCTTTTCTGGCAGGCCATCTGATCTTGAGTATTGAGCGAAGAAAGCTGTTGATGAAGGTGTGTAGTTTGTTTGAGGTGCTCTTCATGACGCGCCAAGTCTCTGATCCACATAGTGAGTAGCACTGACTTCACATTGGAGTTGAAAATCCGGATCTTATTTTTGATTCTGAGTGCTGTTGACCTCCACAGAGACTTGAGGGTAATGAAAGCTTGTCTTACTTTTCCGATTCTGGCTTTGATATCTTCATCCGTTCCGACTGTAGTTGAAACGATGCTTATCAGGTAGTTAGTTGGGGAGGTAGATAAAGGAGGTTGTTTCTTTCGAATTTCTCCCATTTAATGTAATTGCTGTCTGTTGTTGTCGCTGTTGGACAGGAATCTTCATCACCTCTGTTTTCTCTGTGTTCACCTGAAGAAATTCCTATCTTTGATGCTACTTCTGCCAACGTGTTGCTTTTCGTTTGCATATCTTCCAGTTTGTGAGAAATAAGACATATTTCGTATCATCTGAAAGCCCCCACTTATTTTCATAGTCTTTGCAGTCTTGAAATAGTTAGTTAGAAAGTAGGTGTAGGCATCCAATAATTCTTATTCGTATTTAAAACAATGAATAACTGAATTGAGTTTTAAATGAAAGAGTAAATACTGCATACTAATAAATGTGACTTTTGGTTGGAGGATTTTATCATGAGCTGATATCAGTTATTGAACCCTTGGAAAACCGCCAGGGAGTACTGGACAGCTCTTTCATCAGCCTAGTTTGGGACTCTTCAGTAGTATACCCCCACTGTCAGGGTTGG